AAATATATATATAAACGTGTGTATATATATATATATATATATATATATATATATATATATATATTATGGTGCTGTATATCTTATCAAGATATTGAAAGAACAAAATACAAAATCATTTTGGTTTAAACTTAAAAACGATAGACATATTAATTTACATGAAAATATCGCTTGATGAGTGGCATACTCATTTTGAATCCTTACTGCATAGCAATAATATTTATATATATGACGTCGCATTAAATAACAATGAAAATGATTTAAATAATGACATAACTATAGACGGTCATTCACGCCATAGAATTGCAAAAAAAAAAAAAAAAAAAAAGGTAAAGCCCCTGGGATTAATGATTTGTTGGCAGAATTTTGTAAGCATACAGCCGTAGACATAACATATATAATAACTAAATTATACAATTTTTAATATCGAGAACTTTAAGTTGACGGTTGTGAGGAGTGATGGTTAATAGAAATTTAGTTCTAATATTTGAATAAAAAGGGCAAACTAAGGTAAAATTATATTCATTTTCGATATTTTGTAACGAACATAATTTGCAAATTTGCGAAATTTTTCGTTTCTATTAACATTATACCATCTTTCTCTTTCTAATTCAAATATCCCCAATCTTAATTTAGTAAGAATTTGAGGATTTGTTTTGTCTGTGATTGACTACATTAGTTAAATGATCCTTGTTTAATTTGTGAATATAATTTAATTGTAGAATGTTGCATAATTTCTTCAAAAAAAACCTTTGATTCTCAATGTCTCTTAACCTTTGTTTTAAATTAAATACAAAATAATTAATATCGTTGACTTTTTGTGCATGCCAAATATCTCCAAACCCAATGGAACATAATAGATATTTTAAATCTAATGCCCCAATAGACTCGTTTCTTTGTGTTTTCTGTATTGAAAGTCACACCATTGCCTAATATATTTTACACTGTCCATATAAATCAGTCTTAAGCAAAAACTAATAATGTGCAACCTGTATGGGGTATCTCCCGCATTCACCAGTATTGGGTGCTTAGTTGCCAACTCATAATATATATATATTTTTTTTACTTGCATAATACATACCTAAAATTTATCAGAAAAAATAACAATAAAAAAGCCTTAATTAAAAAAATAGACGTAACAATACCAATTTATAATATGTAATAAGGGGCTACGCCACTACCAAACTGTACGGTACTTCGTATTATCGTGACTAGTTAATTACCGTAAAGTAGTTAATCTAATCATAATTTGTCAATTTGAAATTGACAAAATAAACCTAAATTCACTGGGGGGTAGGGACCTAGACAGTATTTTGAAGGGGGGGTTGAGTGGGAGCCGTTATGCGAAGTACATAGTAACAAGCAGGAGTATGTGTCCCCCTCCCTACGGCTGTGGGGCCCGCCAAAGACCCCGATGATGTCCAGGGGATGAAGCCCCCTTGGAAGCAGCGCACTCTGAAGGTTTTTAGGACTTTTTTGAGAAAATAAAGTTAAAATTTCAATAGACGCATCATAAATAGGCCTAATATTAGTAAGCCTAACAATAATTATATAACAACTCAACAGTGGCGGATCAAGGAATTCGAAAGAGAGGTGACCTAGAGAGGGACTCTCACAGACGTAGGAACCACCTACCTCAGCCCCACCATGATGGGGGCTGAGGTAAGAAAATTTATGACCATGGCCCTCTAGATGACCGAAAATTACACTCCCAGACCTACATTTTAATATAAATTTAATTTTCTTTTCCATAAAAAATATTTAGACGGTGGGGTGGGGGATCCTTGAATCTGTCACTGCTCGAAACATTCGGCATGAAAAACCAAATCACATCCTAAAAACAAATGTATGCACCCTCGCCTTATCAGTCACTAACTCACAGAGTCAGGTGACGATTCGATCGAGTTTAATAATGTCATACCCAGGGAAGGGTGCAGATCTGTTTTGAAAGGTGGATTGGGAGGGGGACATTCCGTGAGTCCACACCCACCTCATATCCACCATGGTTGCAGCTGAGGTGCGAAAATAGTACCTCTAGATGGCCAGAAAAGGCATATTAATAAAATTCATCATTATCACATCAGCATTATATATAGTCAAAATGAAGCGCTAACAAATTTCTCATGATCTTATTGCAGATTTTCTGTAACCATGAGATCTTAATAATATATGTACAATAGAAAATAAAGCTTAAAAACATTGTCCTTGGGTAGGCCTTTGTAATTTACATACTTCTAAACATTTCATTATTTTTTTTATCACCGACGAATTGCCGTTTATCGGGGATTGTGGGCCAGCTCTCCCCGACTGAGGGGGTGGCTAAATGGTGCCACCCCCGAATTCACCAGTAGATAGCCTATGTCTACAGCACCAGTACGCGAGATTGGGTAACATGAGAAAACTATGAACAAAGTTATAAGTAGGCCAGTACAAGTTTTTTTCGAATAAATATCTGCGGTCATATATCCCTTTAAAAAGTTTTAATAGCCGCTGTGGTATTTATGCAATCTCAACTTGTAAATGTTTTATTGTATTATAAACTAACTAATGTAGATATTAGCCCGTAGCGACTGCAGTAGGAAATACAATTACATTACATTCATTAACAATTGGATTGAATTACCATAATTCAATTTGTTTCATCTTGTTTTTCAGGGAGACAAAGAGCCGCCTAAGGGGTTGAAGCCGCCTAAGGGTGATGAAGCTACCCAAGAAACGAAACAATAATGCATACTGAAATTACATATAAGGAAAATAACTTTCAACGAATTATACACCTTTCATCAATGACAGTGCATCCTTGTTCGAATAAAATAAGAGCCGCAGGCCTATTTTAATTTTTAAAATTGCTTGTAAACACGGATGACGTGGACAAAGTCAGCATCATCAGTGTACCAGTCAACATTGGAGATGCCAATCATTTAACATTAAATATATATATATATATAAATAGATGTATCATTATTTTGTCAACATGCACCAATATAAATTTAATG